TAAACTAACCACCTTATTTATGAATTTTTCCCTTTGTTCTACGCGCTATCGAAAGCCTGTTTCACAGTTTCACTAATTTTTTTTAAAATATTGTATTTAAAAGTTGGGATAAATTTCATCCGCAGTCACTGAACTTTAAGAGTAATTTTCATTGGATTACAAAGTTTCTCTTTACTATGTCATGTTCCATCACCTGTCGTTCTTCTAAATTGAAGAATTATGCTTAGCAGACAATTATACCATAAGCGGTCTTCCATGACACCTAAAAAGGAATATGGTAAAATGAGAATTATGAAGATTTATTTAAATTACAAGGTTAAAATGCATTTTTTTTCAAATTTTATTTTAACACTTGTGACATGACGTAGTAGTAATTTGACATACAATGCAACGGTTACATTGAAGTTTAATAGCAGCATGACTTCCAATCAAGCAACTTTCATTAATTTAGGAAACAAAGATGAATTATGAAACTAAATTTGAAGTTCATAGACCAAATTGAAATTCCGCGATTCAATTGAGATTTAGCTAAAAGTTTAGTGACTGCATTTGAAATTTATCCTACAAGTTATACTGTTTAGTAAACAAATATTTATATTTATTGGTCAGAGTTGAACGTACGTTGTACGCTATTTTGAAATACTTTGTAATTGCTGTGAAAATAATATTTGTCCATCTATTTACCCTTTTAATGAAGATATGAGATAAATACATAATCCTGAAAATAAATGTTAGTTATTATACATTCATATAAATAGTGAAATGCATAATTGAATTTGAGTATTAGAATTACAAGTAAATGCATAAATGAAATGAATGGCAAATACGATACATGAATTAACGTGAATATTAATTAATTTAGAATTAATACCAAATAATATATACGTGATAATAAATGTGTGGTTGTAAATAAGAGAAAGAAAAATATATTTTGAAAATAATGAGAACCAAACAAGAGCTTAATCAACATAATCAAAGGTGTCGAGGCACCTAAAAGTAATGTTATTTATAGTCAGTCACTATAGTAATCATTTTATGTGGCAACTTGTTAGTACTTATTAGAGGTGTTAATTTCTTGTAATTTTATTACCTCAAATAATAAGTTGTCACATATGATGATTACTGCAGTTGCTGATTATGAATATCATTACTCGTTAACTAGAGTACGCATCTTTTGGAGGATAGAAATGGGAAAGCAATTTAATCTTGATTGTTGGATTTGACATACATGAATAAAAAGTAGTTTGAATGTTTATAAACAATTTATATATACGAGTCTGGCATCGATCGACTTGAATTGAAGTATAAGTACATTTTGAAGTTCGAATGAATTAAAAATAAAATTCGTAAAACTAAATTTATGAGGGTTATGTACGTTAAATAATTATTTTTATAATTTTTGATGATACCAATAATCATGTAGAATAAAGAATAGTCAACATCCCCACTAGAAAAATTCAGAAAAGCTTCTTGCATTGTCAACATACATCGCTTTTCACAAAGAAAAAACCTACCAAAATTAATTTTTTTTTTGCAACTTCTGATAATAGATGATAGGACCTTCTCACCTATATTCGTAATCGTTTTTCTCTATATCATGTCATAATATTAAAACAATAATTTCATTGCCTAGTTAATTTTAAAAATTGTCCAAAAATTTATAATTAAAAGAAAAGTAACTATATCCCTACTATCTTAAAAGAAACAATCCACCATTTACTATTCATTTATGAAGTTTTTTTTATCTCCATCTTATCCATATCTATTATTCACTATCCATTCACGAAGTTTTAATACAAAAGAGTAATATGGACTTTGTCGTATATACAATTGTTAACTCTTTTTATGTCTCTGAGAATAAAGGCGAAGGAAAAAATGGAAGCAACCATTTACTATTCGTAGTCAATTCTAAACATGAAGCGTTAAAACAAAAGGGTAATATGGACTTTCCCATATTCACAATTGTTGACTTTTCTTATGGCGCTTAGAATTAAGGAGAGAATAAACCATTTACTATCGGTAGTCAATTCTAAACTTAATTGTATTCCTACTTCTTCGAACACAAACTAAGCCTATACAGCAAAAACGGAACCCTCAAATAGAGAAACCAACTAGGTGTATACAAAACCATATGTTTTCTAAACTATATAGAACAGAAAACATATATAGAACAAATAAATATGTGAACTGGGGGGTATTGACATCCTTAGCTATCACGACCATTGAACTTGATAACCTTCGACTACAGCATCACACTTTTCTGCTGAAAATTTTGTGCATAATTACATACAAGACATTGGATGGGGATATCAAATCTAACTGTTACTTCCTTGTACCATATCCGCATTTCTAGAACTCCAATGATTGAACTTTATATTACCACTCAGAAGTTTTTTCAACGACCTCAAACGCGAAGGGACAAGCGATTTTTCATCTTCCTCTTCATTAACCTGTCTTCAAATGTCAATCACAAGCATTCCGTCTGGCCTATTACTTGTCAATGTCAATGATGACGAGCTAGTGGGTTGAAACGGAACAGTAGTTGCAATACCTTGCTGACTATCCTCTAAACAAGGTCCAAATGTACTAACTCGAGTCTCGTTACCCCCATAACAATACATTGGTGGGAAATTTTGGTGGCTGGCCTGAATTTTCTTCAATTGGGATTTGAATTACAGTCTCTTCAGAACTACTATGATTCAATGATGATTCATTTTCATTCCTAATAAGGTCTCGACGAAGAGGACAAGTGTAATGAGATTGAAACCACATATCAATACAATCCATATGAAACCCATGCTTGCATTTTGGCAAAAACCTGATGTTTTCCCCCTTGTGAGACCTCAGAAAGACACACTGCACATTCCAATCCATCTTTGAAATCATTGGGATAATATGGGTGTGTTTGACGCCCATTTTTTGAAGATAAAAATTTTAGAGTGATTGATGGGAGAATGTGTTGTGGAAAAGTTATGAAAAATTTTAGATTTGTGTGTAATATTATTTTATTGGAAAAATGTGTGGTTGAAATGAAGTAAGAGAAAAAAAAATGATAATGAGATAGAGAATGGGTGCCAAACATGAGCTATATTACTACAGGTATGGTTTTGAGGACAGTGGAATCAAGACCACAGCACAGCGTGAAGATTAGATCCTTTGTATCTGCAAATGGGCAAACAGGTTGATTCTCGTTTCGAAGCAACAAATCATTTGCATAACAACAATAAACAATAAATTATGAAAAAAAAAATCTAACAATTTTTCAGGTCAACTATGTAACATTGTTAAATTGTTTTGATGTTATTGAAAACTGAGACCATTTGCTAAACAACAAAGTATACATACAAACTTACCGCTAACATTACCTTCAAAATAACATAACCCGTGCATTGCACGAGCAATAGACTAGTATCATATAAAATGGCGAAAAATTCAAGTAATGGAACCTTTTCTAAAAATAGAAACACTTGTTTTTTTTAGAAAAAAAGATGGTTTGTCTTCACAAGCAAGTACATGATCATATATTAAAGTTAGGATAATGCTGTTTGTACAATATTTTTTTTACAACATTATTGACAATGTTGTAGGTGACAAAAAGTGTTGATTGAAAAAATAAATTGGTTTTTAAACTATGTAATGACATGTCACGTTACATGCTTTCAACAACATTGTACACCAATCATGATTGTTAAAGATAAGATTCGAAATATCAAAACCAAAGTGACAATCTTGTCATAAATTTCATTTCATGTGCATCTATAGTATAGAGTGATGTATATAAAGTAGATCAACTTGTCAAACATGTCAATTTAACGCCGATCTACTAATTTTTATTTGAATTGCGCAATATCTTAATAAATATGAAAATGACATTCCCTTCAAATGAAAAATTAGGTTGTTGCACGTGATTAAAGCACTGAATGGTCGGATTACAATAATGATTTTGAAGAAAATTGTGAACTAGGAGAAAAATGTTTCTTATATGTATTTTGCAAGTGTTTAGGCCAAATGTTTTTACAAATATTGCATGTTTAATATGCGGTAATGAACAAAATCACAGAGTATATTGAATTTCTAGAAACATTCTTATAATATATATGGTCAAGCAAGGAGCAGCATAAGAAACTCAATAGTAACACAAATTTCTATCGTGCTGTAGAAATTTGGCTTGTTACAGGCCGTAACAACTTTCCATGGCCAAAAGACTACCCCATTTCTGTAACGTGATCCAAGCTAATTGTCATCCTCTAAGTACTGATAATGAAGCAAAATTTGAAAGCTTTGTTACCCTACTCTAGAAGCTCACATCTGCAGGTCCGTCGTCCAAGTACCTTGAACACTAGGATGTTTTGTGACGTGCTTTGTCTTCAGCTTCACCACCTTTCGTCCTAGTGCATTCCTTAGCCTGGTTGCACACTGGTGTACATCCTCGGGAGTCATATTCTTAACGCATACAACTCGCTCGTTCTTGTTCCCTGCATGTTGAAGCAATCAAAAAATCAGCTAGAATTCGACTGAAATCCTATAGGCCGGCACCTGCACAAGAAAAGAACACGCACTTGTGTGCTCAGATTCTTTAAGAATTATTTTCAATAGTGATAGAGTATAAATAAAAAGAAAATACTAGTTCTAAATGACCATGGTTCTGAATCAGCCATGCAGTGGCTGAATGGTAAAGACAATTAGTTGAAATGTTGCATAATTGCATTAAGATATTTATTTTCCCACTTTTTTTAAAATCTTATTGTTAAAATTAAATGACTTTAGATCTGTGAGACATTAGAACTAGAATACTTTTGACAAAACCCTATAAATCTCTCCATCTTAAGTTTAATTCATCATTTGATTCCAACCCTCCTCCCTGCATTATCATTTCTGGATTTTATATCTCCTGCTCCAATGGTTCATTATTCGCAGGTGTTCAACAAGTTTGAGGTGTTAGGATGTTTATCACCTGATTTGAGCTTCAAAATGTGAACTTATACTATCACAATTTTTATTCTTATTTTTCTGAGGTAGGAAGGGAAGGAGTAGAGGTAGGGGTACGGGTAGAGAATTATGAGTTCTTCAATTTGATATGTGTTCCAGACTTGGTCATTTTTTAAGACGGGTTTATTGGGTTCTCTTGTTAGATTGTTGAACCTGATTGAGTTATAATTCAGCATTCTAGAATCTCAACTCCTATCACATATTCTTGAATGATGATATCAATTTGACTTGGTGCCCCAACCATATACTTTTTGTTGATTAGCCCAACTGATCCTACTAGATGACTCACTGATGCGAGAATAAGTCAATGACTAAAGAGAGCAGTGACTGTGGATTGCAACTGGATAAGGTCATCACTTTTGGAGTAAGATTGTAAGAAGCAAATAGGGAATCAATTTAAGCGGACAGGACTCTAAAGTTGTGTCAAGAGGCTCACTTAGAAGTCCATGGAGTTCATCCCGCAAAAACCTACTTCATTTCTTTGTTTCAGTGACATGGGCGTTCCATATGTTGTAATAGGATTTGTGTATGTGAGACCATTTCGAAGGATTCTATTGCTTTGGCTTTTTCTTTTCCTAGACTCCATAGACTAACTGTTCCACTCAATGAGTTTGTTTGATCCCATTCCATAACTCTTTTCTATGGGCTTTCACTAGTGATTCTTGTTTCTACGCATCGATTAACCTTGAAAGACTCGTACTCTTTTATTTGGAGTTCAAATGTCCCTCGAAGGATTATTTTTCCTGGCTAGTTTTTTGAAGGAATATTAATAATTGTGATTCAGTGTCAAAGAAAATATCTCACCCATAGATCTTTCCCTCCAAGGTATTTGGTTTGTAATGAAAATGCTGACACAAATGTGTGAAATCCAGGAAATTGTGGATCTCAACTGCTGGAAAACCGATTTGGCTTTGCTTGAGGAAAAAGACTTCACGTAATGTGAAGCATATGGTGTATGGTGTTAGTGGCGTTTTAGACAATTTTCCTGGAAAGGAACAACAAATTATTTGAAGGAAAAGATAGCTTAATTCTCCCTATGGGATAAGGCTATATTTTAGCATCTCTTTAGGCATTTTCCAATAAGGAATTTAAGGATTTCCTCTTGTTACTGTTAGTCGCAAGGGTCTTTCGATGTTTGTATATTTTTCTCTGTTTTCAATGTTAGAGGATGTCATATTATCTGACTCTGATTTGCTCATAATGAACCCAAGTTTCTATCAAATAAATTCCTTTTTACAATAAAAACAAGTTGTTGCACAAGGGTATTCCTGCCATTTCTTATGTAAAAGAACTGATGTAGCGTAAAGATACTATTTTGGCACGAATAACATTGCCTCTAGGAACTCTCAGTCTCTATCTCCCAAACTCTCACTTCCAATATCCACATGAAATCTTGAATTGATCATCCATGGCTATATCTTCTTAACACATATCAATGACATACCAGCAGAAAAAATTAAGTGAGCTTACTCGTGTGTGATTAGATGCAAGTAAAACAGTCTGAACATTTCCCCCTCCCACAATCCCCAAAACCGGGGGAAAAAGGGGACTGGAATAAAAGATTTGCTGAAACAGCAGACCAACGTGTTTCTCTTTTATACCTCTGCAGTCAAAGAACCTAGTATCTGGGATTCTGGATGATCTATGTTTCAGTCAAACATATAGGCCTGCATGTCTAAATAAAACGATGGTTATCAGGCCAGAAACCTAAACTGTGTTATATAATGAGATGTGAATCAGATTCAGTTGATCCAAGACTATAGATAAATTTTCAAACATAGATTGTCTAACCCAAAGGGAAGCGTAAAAGTAAAAATGCATACACAAAACCCAGTATGGATATATAGATCAAGAGAAAGAGAGAATTCTTACTGTATAATTGAGCTCGGCGATCACCTCGAGCTGAGGATTTTTTTCTTTAAATGCTGGCAATTGAGATTCCATAAATGCCCTAAACAAAATAAATGAAATCACTGATCCTGTTTGAAACCAAATTGTTAGCCCTGTTTAATTGTAGATCATTGAAAAGCAACATTGATCCTTTTTTCCCATTTGATAACTGTTAGCTATTCTACTTTAACTCGTATCTAGAAGATAGCATTGTTGATTGTTATTTGTTATCCTGAGAACACCAAACCATATCCCACTTTTCCAACTGACGTGTTTTTGGGGTTAGCTCACCTTTGCGGGATCGCGACCCTTTGTCCCGGCCATTGTAGCACCAGTGTGAGAACACCAAACCATGTCCCACTTTTCCAATATTAAGCCTTCCACCATACCATATCCTCAGTCCATGTAGTTACTTAGCCGGTACCACAGATATTGAAGACAATATGTAGAAACTTAAAACTCCAAATAACTAAGTTATGCACATATATCTCACTATCCTAAGCACCATTGTCAAGACCTATAAAGGTGAAAACAAGTTGAATCGTTTATACAGGGATCACATAAGGTAACAAAGCCAAAGAGATCTAGGTAAAACAATCAAGTTCTCCAAATAGAGTATAATTCAGATTTTGGTGCATTGTGCTTAGAGCAATATCCAGCTACTAATATTAGTCCGGGTTGAAACCGTGAGGAAACACGAAAGAGAAGGAGTAAAAACAGAATAGTTAAAAACAATTAGCTGCCAACAGTATGAATTCAACAATGAAATTGATAATTTTTCTCATCAAGAAATAAGTTCAGAAATACAGGAAATTGAAAATCATACAAAAAAGAGGGAAAAAATACATCAAGTGAAGAGTTCATAATTACCTGATACCCCTGCTACTGCCTCCCCAATCACGGTAACTCACAATCAGCTTTTGTAACTGCCAGACGCCTCTCAAAGCCATCGTTTTTTTTTTCCTAACAATTTAAGCTTTTTCAACAATGGAGAGATATTATGGGATATTTGATTTATTGAGCAGTAACGAAGACGAAGAGTGTTTGAAGGGTGACTATGCATGCAAGGTTTGAGCCGACCGATTCAAACGATCCGATAGACGGGATAGAGGAATCTTACTTTAGCCATGACATTATTTTGTAACCATTTCAATCACACGTTCACGTACAAAAAAAAATTCTTAATTTTTAACCGTATATTCTCTGAAAAATCATTATTTAAAACGCCATTTTATCCAAATAATGATTATCAAACGAGGGCTCGATTTCATCACTTTGGTGAAATTTGGGTTTTGCTTAAGCAGTCACGCTACATGTACACCTTATCTTACATTAACTTTTACATTTTTCCACATATTACTATAATAGCCTTTGATTTCCCTAATATCTTTTCACATAGTGGCCCAAATTGTGCCACGTAAGGGACACTATCATGAAAAATGTAAACAAGAATGTACATTTAGCAAAATTCTTGCTTAAGTGGGTTGTAGGAAAAATGTGCTCGGGTGTTATTTGGAATGTATTATTCTTATTTTTAAAGTCATTATTTTGGAAAAAATTTGATGTTTGAAATGATTTTTAGGATTATGTGATTAAAAATTTGAAATTTTTTTGAATTTACTTACAAATTTTTTTATTGGGTAAATGTAAGGCTAAAAATAAATATAAGAATTAGAGATGAATCCGGCTCAACTCAAAGAGTTTTTTGGATGCTCCGACCGGACCCAATTAACAATGACGGTTAAGCCACTCTAGCCGGTTTAGATAAGACCCACGAAATCAGTAGCCAGAAATCAGGTCATATGTCAAACCCTTGGCTTGTTACACAAATAATCCGTGTGAATTTTGGAGTCCTTTTTCATTTCTAGGTGTAAATTCGAAATCTCAGGTCATGATTTGAACTACTGCAGCGCTCCTTCTGAATTATGCATTTGGCAAAAGATTGAGCTGGAATTTGGAGAACAATTTGATGTGAACTCATGGCGTGCTACTCCTTTCAGAGAACTCTTTATTGTTTAGCAAATAATTTTTTGGTGACTCGAAGAGCTTCTAACGAGTTGATTAGTTTCGCAAAACCACGTACCAGCTATTCTTCAAATGTGGGTAAAGTATATTTCTGACATTGACAACCATGCTCGGCTTAATTTGACATTTCCAACTCATTGAATTGTTTAATTCTTTTCAATTCAGAGTTTTGGTGGAGTGTGTTGTAGTTTGAGATCTGATTGGTGTACAGTTTCACGGAAAGTTTCTTCGTATAGTATAAGTACATCTGCTGAAAGTGCAACACTAGCTCAAGATGCAATTTTTGATTCAGCTGACCGTAGAGATGGATTAGCGAACCCCAGTTCTTCAAATGGTAGAGTTATGCTCATTGATGGAACATCAATCATTTATAGGGCATACTACAAGCTTCTTGGTATGTCAAACCATCTATGCTGAATTCATTCAAGTAATGGTTAAAGGTCTTCTATTATAAACAATGTAGTTTCACTTGTTATTTGTATATTTCTTTTACTTTATTATCAGTATGGATGTGACATTTGTAGTTTCACTTGTATTTTCCGTGAGCACTATGGTATTGTACTCCATGCTAACATGGATCCAAAAGATTGCATAGCGAGAGTTCTTGTTCTACAAGAGATTTCAGATAATGTCAACTCTTCTTACTCTTTCACTTGTTTTACGCATCTGCTTATCAACTTGTACTTTCCACGGGGAAACTGTTACTTATTAATCAAGGAATATTGTTTAGAGGGTGATATTTGACTATTTTATTATTTTAACCAGTAACTGGTTCTTGATGTTATCTCTGTTGCCTCTCTGTTTCCATCCTTTATGTCCCTAGCAATTTATTCTCTTAAGGATTGATTCATTTTATGGATTCCTGAATAGCTAAATTGCACCATGGCCACCTCTCAGATGCTGATGGAAATGGGGATTGGGTCTTAACCATTTTTACAGCCCTGTCTCTTGTAAGTTCTGATTTTTTAGATTCAAGATATTTTCCTTGCTCGTATATTTAACTTTTTATACTGATTTCATGGAGTGGTGTCCAAAATGTCCAAAAGTAGTCTGATTACATGGTTTTTTAGTGCCCTTTAGGACCTCTCAACTTCTCTGTCTTATGAAATGTGTGTTTCAGAGTACATTTTTACCTGCAAATGATTATGCAAAATTACTGTGTAAAACTTCTTGCTAATATATGACTTTTGCTGAAGGCACTGGATATTTCGTTCCCTGAGTAGTGTTCTACTCAATCATGTAAGAAAGATGTAATAGATAAATGTTGAATGTTGATGCATTTAACTCAAGATGCGTTATATGCATGCAAAATGTTTAATTTTAGAGGGTCATTGGTTTTCATTTGCTAGAAATTATTTTTCCTCTCAAATCTGATGAGCAAAATTGAGCTTGGGGGTTATTTGGTTTATTATAATGTTGATCCAACAGTATTGAACTCCGTGAAGTATTGTCTCAAATTTGTGCTGTTTGTCTCCATGAATTCTGCTTTGTCCTTTTGGAATTTAATGCTATTTACTGTCGGTTAATCCAGTGGCACCAGTGTCATTTAAAGTTGCTCAGCTTTTAAGATTTAAAGTAACTTATATTTATGTTTTGTTGCAGATAATTGATGTCTTGGAATTCATCCCTTCACATGTGGCGGTACAAGTCTCTCTTTCTCTCTCTCTCTCTTTTTTTTTTTTTCTCCTGTGAGTCTATCTGTGTGAAAATAAATTGGACTCTTTATCATGATCACTTTCTCTCTGTCACTTACTAGTTCTTTAACAGCACACATTGGGCTTTAAACTAACAAGTTCTCTCTTTCCTATTAACTGCGTTAACTTCAAAATATTTCTAATTTGATGCAATTTATAATGATAATGTATGATTACGAGCGTGCTAACACTACGTGCACACAACAAAAAAAGCGCGAATGAAAAAAACTTGTTTATATTACCTATTGTCCACGAATTGCAAGGTTACTACTGTGTACCAAAAGATTGTGTTACCGGTATTTGTACAAAAGGCCGGGTGAAAAATGAAATTTGGTACGTCTCTGTAGATCCCCTTTTTATGAGTATATGGTTTGTTTTATCCTAAGCTAGGGCATTGCCCTTTCAGAATGGCAAAACTCCAAAGTCAAATGTAAGAAACAACGGGAAGATGAGTAACTAACTAACCCTTAAGTAAAATATACTCTTCAAGTCCAAAAAGTGACAAGTAAATGAAAAGAAGTACAAGAGTAAACCACATAGCATAGTAAGCAATGAGATATAGGGCCTCCAATAAAAGCTATTTATTTTGTGGCTTATTTTGGAAGCAAGAAGTTACTTTTACTGGGAATCAAACACTTGCATCAAAATTATTTACTGGAGCATCCAGGCTCTTTGAGCCATCCAGGAAAAAAAATCCTAAATTTACTGGAGCATCCAGGCTCTTCGGCAATGAGATGACATTTAATACCCTAATACATCCTTTAGTTTTTTACCTCCAAAACTTACACACAGCTGTAGCCAAATCAACCTTATAATCAGTCTTGTTGAAGGAATTCCCAATAACCTTTGAAGCCCAGAAAATACTGCCGTCGCAGTTGCTCACAGGCAGAATATAATTATATCTTAATTGAATAAACCAATTATCCTTTTTACTTTATCTTTATATGTTTTGTGTCATTGATAGCTTGTGTATAATTGACTTCCTGAGATTACTGTAGACGCTCTTCCCAAATGGAGAGTCTTCCCGAATGGAGAGATTGGTGGAGATGGAGGAGATCGCGTGGAGACAGAAGCCTAGGGTCTTGTGGTTGAAGGAGGGTGACAAATGCATAAAGTTCTTTCATCGAGTCGCCAATTCCAACCGGCGCAATAACTCTATTACATTGTTGGAGGTTGATGGGGTTACGTACGAGGACCCACAAGATATTGTGACTCAGCAGGTGCGATTTTATCAGAATCTCTATTGGGAGCAGTTTGCGTGGAGGCCTGAGCTGGAGGGACTAGATTTCTTCACTATCACTGAAGAAGATGCTAGTTGGGTTGAGAGACCATTTGAGGAGGATGAAGTTAGGGATGTGGTGTTTAATATGAATGATGATAAGGCCCCTGGACCGGACGGGTTCTCATTCTCATTCTATAAGGCTTGTTGGGAGATGGTTAGATCAGACATTATGGATACAATCAATTATTTTTTCGAACGTGGCAGGTTTATGAGAAGTCTTAATGCCACATTCATTGTGCTTATTCCTAAGAAACCGGGAGTGACTGATATTAAGGATTACCGTCCCATTAGCTTGGTTAGTGGGGTTTACAAGATCATTGCTAAAGTGTTGGCGAATAGATTAAAGGAGGTTCTGGGAAAAGTGGTATCGAAGTTCCAGAATGCTTTTGTGAAGGGGCGTCAGATTTTGGATTCAGTTCTTATAGCGAACGAATGCATTGACTCAAGAATACGTCAGGGGACCCCAGGGATGTTGTGTAAGCTTGATATTCAAAAGGCGTATGATCACGTCAATTGGGGATTTCTTATGTATATGCTCAGGCGATGCGGCTTTCGGGATAGGTGGTGTAAGTGGATTCAGTTCTGTATTTCTATGGTTTCATTTTCAGTTTTAGTTAATGGCAACCCCTAAGGTTACTTCCGGAGCAGTAGAGGTTTGAGGCAAGGTGATCCGTTGTCACCCTTGTTGTTTGTTATTGTGATGGAGGCATTCAGTAGAATGATTGAGAAAGCTGTGACGGAGGGTTTGTTAAGAGGTTTTGAAGTTGGTCATCTACAGGTCTCCCATTTGTTATTTGCAGACGACACACTGATATTTTGTGATGCAGACGTTATGCAAATTAGGAATTTGCGCCGCTTGCTTCTGTGTTTTGAAGCAGTCTTTGGTTTGAGGGCAAATTTGGGGAAATTGGAGGTTATTCCAGTGGGGGAGGTTGCTAATGTGGAGGAATTAGCGGCCATATTCGAATGCAGAGTTGCATAATTGCCTATGTCATATCTAGGGCTTCCGTTAGGTGCGAAGTTTAAAAGTAAACATATCTGGAATGATATTCTTCAAAGAGTGAGGAGGAGGTTAGAGGGGTGGAAGCGTATTTATCTGTCAAAAGGAGGCCGGCTTACTCTCATCAAATCCACGCTTTCTAATCTTTCAACCTATTTTCTATCTTTGTTTCCTATTCCCGTCGCAGTGGCAAATAGTTTGGAGAAGTTGCAGAGGGATTTTCTTTGGGCAGGGTTGGGGGAAGAGAGGAAGTTTCATTTGGTCAAATGGGGTGATGTTTGTTCCCCTGTTAGAGTGGGGGGTCTTGGATTGAGGAGCCTTGTTTTATTTAACAAGGCATTGATGGGCAAGTGGTTGTGGCGATTTGGTATGGAGAGGGAGAGCTTCTGGAGAGAAATTATTGGGGTGAAGTATGGTATTTTGGAGGGAGGGTGGCGTTCAGGTGAGGGTCGTGGTTCTTATGGGATGAGCTTGTGGAAGTTTATCAGGAAAGGATGGAGCGAGTTTCAGAATAGATTGGCTTTTGCGGTGGGGACCGGGACGAATATCAGATTTTGGGACGATTGTTGGTGTGGAGATCAAACATTAAAAGTGCGGTTTCCTTCCTTACATCGCATTGCCTTGGAGCCTTCAGCCATGGTGAGTGATGCTATGGCTATATCCAATGGGAGTCCTAGCTGGAACATTACTTTCGGGAGGGGCTTACATGATTGGGAACGGGATGACTATGTATTATTTTTGGCCTCTCTGTATGATGTGCACATTCGAGTGGGAGAGGAAGATTGTAGCAGGTGGAGGGCGGCACAGAATGGTTTGTTTTCTGTTCGTACTTATTTCAGATCCTTATTGGAACCTGTTGAGAGCTCATTCCCGTGGCAAAGGGTCTGGCAAAGTAAATTACCTCCAAGGGTGGCTTTTTTACTGTGGACGGTTGTGAGGGGACAGGTGTTAACGGCGGATAATCTTAGAAGAAAGGGTTATTGTCTTACGGAGTGGTGCTATATGTGTAAGAGGGATGGCGAGACGATCGATCATTTGTTCATTCATTGTGCCGGTGTTCGGTGGATGTGGAATGATATTCTGGCCTCGCAACATATGAGTTGGGTGTTGCCAAGGCGTATCAAGGAGGTGGTGTGGGCATGGAAGAGAAAGTTTCGAGATAAGAATAGCAAGCTCGTTTGGGATCTCATTCCAGGATGCATTGTTTGGTGTGTGTGGAGAGAACGAAATGGCAGATGCTTTGAAGACCAAATACGGACGACAGAGCAATTTAGAGAATTGTTTTATTTGACTTTGTATAGTTGGTTTAATGCTATAACCATTAGTACGATAGAGGGTTGCCGAATTTTTTATCATTTCTATCTTGTTTAAACTGATAATGCACTCCTTGTGTATTACCGTTTGAGTTTTTTATAAAATTACGTGATTACCTATAAAAAAAAAAACCAATTATCCTTGTGAGTGAACACTGGAAGAGCAGACGATTGAGATTTCAGCTGGACGTCTGAAGAATAGAATTTAAAACTCGAAATGCAATTAACATCACTAATTGACAAGAAGTCATTGATTTTAGGAGACGACTTAGTATATTAGCTTTGCAAGAAGTAGATAATAACCATTAGTTGGAAACAATGTAATTTTGGGGTATAATGTGAATGATTTTACCTGGAGTAATTTTTTTTTCACCGATAATTGCATTACAAGGACTAGACATGAAATAGAAGCTTTACTTTGCAGTTTCCATTATAAATTACCATATGATGGACCTCAGCATTATGGATAATTCACTGTAGTGCAAAAAAGAAAAGAAAACTGAAGATGTCATTTTTAGATTGAATGGTGTAAGAAATACTGTTCAATTTTTTTAATTAAGGATTTTCTTTGAGTAATAGTTTTGTCTTGTAAAAAATCAAATAATTATGAAAAAGTTACTTTTCTAATAAGAGTTCTTCTAGTTATATCTCCACTTGAAATCAACTTTATTAATTTTTTTTCTCTTTTCATCTTCCTTTTTTTGTTTTTCACCCCCATGCACGTTGAGCATCTTTATGCAACCAAACTATCGTTACCACTCTCTAACGCATTCGTTTGCTTGCTCTGCAGGTGGTTTTTGACCACAATGGTAAGTTACACTTCTTGTTAAAATTTATTTTTTCATCTCTTTCAATTCTCATAACCAATTTTTCTCCTACACTTGTTTTTGTCTGTGCTATGATTATTGTCATGCTACTCATGTAGAGAAAATTTAGTGAAAAATGGCAATTCTTAGCTTCGCTGCCTATTGGCAGTTCCTTGGACCGAGGGATTCAAGTTGAATGTCTTGTAAAACATTTTCTTGTACTTCTTGATGATTGTAGCTTTAGAGCAGGACCATGGTGATATACCTTGTGTTTCCCCCTTCAAATCTGTGACAGGATGGATTTTTTATCTGAGAAGCTATTGATTATGAGGGAACTAAGAGATAGACGTTGCATATTAACTTGGAATCATACTCTGTTTGCTAACAAATGGTTGTCTTTCTAATCATCTAAGACCTAGCACATACACTGTTGATCTTTCATCTTGCTGGCTGTTCGATGAAGCATTTGGATGTTCAATTATGCTGTGGAGAAATGGACATATGGAATCCTTCATTTATGTGTGGACTTGATTACTGAAATCTTCAGAAATTACTATTTGTTTATTGAAAGAGTTGAACATCGTAGAAGTTTGCAGAAGAGTGATACAATACAATCATTATGTTGTATTTCAACTGAGCATCAGACCTTAAGACTAAAGATGTCTACCAGTTGCTTATTCCCTTATTTTTTTAATATGGGATTAAATTTTTCAGATTGAATACTTTACTAATGCTGATAATAGTTTATTTATCAGATGGACTATTATCCTTTGCCTTTCTGCCTCTATCGAAGTAACTACATGAAAGATAATATGATAACTAATTCTAGCCCCTGCAAACTCTTTTACCTCTTTAATTTGGTAAGAAGAGAAGGATTGAACCAGATCATAATTCTGTTCTAAGCCTTTTGCATGTTTCGCTCTCTTCATCTGATTGTCGAGTTAGTTCATTTTGATCTAAACAAACTTTTTTGGTATGAATTGTTTAAGTATCAGATTATGGTTGTAGATGTTTATTTTAAATGCAATGGATACATTTTGGAGGAGAGACATTTTAGAAGTGCATTGTTTTGGACAACTTGTTAGAGTATCATATTTTGATTCCAAAATGTACTTTGAGCGGAATGGGAACATCTTGTGTGGCCACATTTAGGATGAGACATATTTTAGAACTGTTAAAGTTAAGATTCCTTGTTCGATTGATAAGATAATGAAGTTTGTCCCTGGACAAATCACAAATATAGAAGGATGACGATATAGTGTGACTTTATCCGTAAGTATCCGATATTATTTGCCAGGGTCTTTGTTTCTTAATATTATCAGAATCTGTTTCATAAGTAATTTTATGCTTGAATTGTTGGAGGAAATTCAAGAGAGCACAAGATTGAGTTTTTAATGTTGTATTTGCCCACTGCATATCATCTTTGCCAATGATTCATTCTGTGCTGACTTGTCTGGAATGTGAAAGGTGCAAAAAACAAACCCAATGTTCATGTAAAATGTCTTTCAATATTCTCTTCGAACCAATGAGAGTCTGGTTTTGGCCCTTCGAGTAACATGTGGTAGATTGGTAATGTTTGCTTCTAATGTTTTTGCCCAATAATTGAAATTAGATGGGTATGGATATATGCACCCTTCTTCAAAGAATGTTATGACAAAACAAAGTTTTCCTTTCAGGAGTTCAATACGGTCAAACTTCTCTTTCATCCAATCAAAGTTTTGTTGCAAAAGGTATGCTATTTAATCCAAAGCTGTGTATGGTGTTGGACAAACACTCGATTGTATTCTTAGGACCAATAATTTGGATAAAACTGACTTCACATTCTAAACAGTTTGAAGCATAATGAGATCAAACTCATGCATTTTATTGAGCTTATGCACATGTAAAAAATTTGTTTCATGGATCTGTTTATGCATGTCAATATGTACTTCTCAAGATCCTTTGAAAATTATGAATGACTGATCATCTGCATCACACCTTGAATGGATGAACGTTATGGTTTTGGAGATAATATGCTGGATTGCTTGTAATCTATTAGTATAAGTGATATCAAATACATCACTCTTCTTTTCCTTACACTGGGTGGGAAACTTTTGGAAATTTTGACCAAATGTTAAGTGCTTTTGGACTGTATTCTTAATTTTATATGGAACCTAGATACAAAAAAAAATAATAATAATAACTTTTGGGGAGAGTACGATTCTCTATAGTAACTCTGTTATTATCCTTGTGCCTCTATTTTATTTATTTATTATTATTATTATTATTTGGGGGTGAGGAGAAGGGGCCAAATCATCAACTCATCATTAGTGTGTTTTTAGGCTCCACCAAAGGAGGATGATGGGGTTTATTCCCCAACCATAATATTGTAGAGTTTTTCTAGATAAATATAAACCAATATTTTTGCTTTTGTCTGTACTAATCAATCAATCTCCTAGGCAAGTAAATGACATCCATTGTAGATCTTTGTGGCCTAAAGTATAAATAATTTTATGAATATTTAATCACCCTCTCTCATATTTTACACAGTGCGACTCATAGCTTAATACCTCTATGTCTTGTACAGTCTTGAATGTCTCTCATTCTTATAAAGAGGCACCATAACACTATTGTGCAATAATCTTTAAGTTTTGGCTTGCCTGAGTAGATTACCCAAATTTGTTTCTTGCTTCCCATTGTTAGTGTCATCAAAATGCTGATCATTCTCTCTGTTTTGTTTGATGAAGTAGTACTTAACTGCGCAAAGTCTAACGCACTGCCAATGCCTCTTAGAGCTTAAGCACATAGCACAGGCTTGCTGAAGCAAAAAGCTTATTGTAATCTAAATAAAAAACTCCTTACATAAAAAAAATATAATAAGAAAACAACAACAATTTTCAGCAACTTGGTTGATTTCACCAACTATTTGAACAAAATCAGTGCCAAAATAATTCCATATTAAGATTTATAATTCGTTCCTTAATTAATTTAATTTCAGCAGCCAAAATATCAATACGACACCCATGCTAAATCAAAATCTGGTGTGCAGATGGACTCAAAATGCCCAAAAATTTAAAAAAAATTTGCCTCTTGGCCTTGCTCTTTTTAGCGTTGTTTGTACAACTTTGCACTTCAATACTAAAAAGGGCATCCTAGTGCGCCTCACTTTATTTGTACATAGGAACCCCTTTTCAACCAATGTGCAATATTCTACATATTGATTTGGAAGAGTCCATTGCCATCTTAGCTTCATGTATTTTCCAAATTTGTCTTTGTTGGCTATGTAAGGCAATGTTGAATCATATTGATTTTTCAGTTATGGTGCTGAAAATCAAATCTCTCACACTTGTAATTTACTGAGTTGGTCACAATTAAATCAAACTTGTATTTTTTGAAATTGAAGGATAAATGCTTAAGGAATCTTATCTGGTTAAGGTTTATTGTCTGTAATGTACTGTTTTTGGCGAATAGAATCCAGAGAGCATGTTGCTCTAACAAAATGCATACGCATCACTAACTACAGTAATTATTCTTTATATATGTATTTCATTTTTGTGCATGAAGTGTCAGAAGGAGAACCATGTTTCTGGTTAGGTCTTATAATTTCCGCACGCTAGAGCTACTACCTCATTACTTTCTCTCAGACGTATTCTTTAGGAAAAAATTTGTTAGTTTTTATTGTATCTATGTTTTGTAGGTCTCTCTCCCTACCTTTCTTATCTATTCACCTAAGTAATATGTGGGTATTTGGGTTCTCTTTTCCTTATTATATATATTTATGTAAAGCTTGATATTGCATCTTTCTTAACTATCTTCAATTACTCCATAGTCTCCATGCTGAAGCGAAATGGGCTAAGCTGCCGATGGTGAAGAGTGCTTAAAGATAAATTTTGAGCACTAAATTTTTGTGTCAATACTACTTGTCTGTATGTTCCCATCAATATCTGATAGACTTGATTCGATGTAATTTTTTTAATCTAAGCAGATGTCAGTTGCTGCGATCTTTTTTCTTGTTCTCCTTTAGTTCATCTTCTCTACTTTTGTTTCTGTTATTTCTTATGCCATATACACTCTTGACTTTAATCAGGTTATTCATTTCAACTCGTCTGTCCTTTGTGCATATTTTGTTATTAACTTATTGTGCAGTATTTCATTTCAATATATTCTCGCTTTTATCTCTGTGTTAAGAGAGGGAAATTTATGATTCTGGTTTCTCATACCTAATAATTACATAGCAATCACTGATTGGTAAAATTTCTTGTAGGCCTAAATTTTCGTCACACCCTTTACCCTTCATACAAAAGCAATCGGCCTCCCACACCAGATACCATTATTCAGGGACTTCAGTACTTGAAAGCATCCATCAAGGCAATGTCTATTAAAGTGATTGAGGTAAGAGTCATAAACAATTGGTTTATGTTTGATTTAATGTGGTTGCAAGGTCTTAGGATTTTTTTGTCCATTTTAAAGTAGGTGCCAGGCGTCGAAGCTGATGATGTAATTGGGACCTTGGCTGTTAGGAGTGTAAATGCAGGATTCAAGGTACTTTCGTAAGCTATATTATAGATGACAATCTCAGTAACAGACATATTTTGGCTCTAAGTTTTGTGATAAGGAAAAGCCTATTTATGGGCTGTACTTTCCTATTTTAAATGTTGGCAAAAACTTGAATATGCTTGTGTGACTGGGTCCACGTATCTTTCTAAAAAATCTTTTGGTACATTGATTTGATGCTGTTTGCAGTGTGAATTGAGAGGCACAGCCTTTATTTGAAGCTTATTAGCTCTGATTTTTTGGCCTCCTATGCTCGTATAAGATATGCTATTTGACCTTATCTTCATTTTTGTAATCCGTTTTAACTGCTTGTAATGTGAGAAAAAGGAAAACGAGGATGAAGAAAAAATTACTTTCATACTTCGTGTGTGGAAGCCACTTATGGTACAAACTACTTGCTTGAAACTGCTACTTTCTTCCATATTGTTACATTTGTGGATGTAATACTGATGGGGAGCTTACCCATTGAAGGGATGATGACGACTTACCCAAATACTTGGATGTTGACTATCTGGAGAATGAGAGAAGTATAGGGGGGTTTGATGATGTTAGAAATCTATTGTTTAGAATGGGCACTTGGTTTTATCAATGTTTAGGATAAAAGATCTGCACTCACTCATAGATTCATAGTGGATTATTTGGGGGTATGTACTATTTTTTCCTTAGTGTTCTTGTACATGTTTTGCTCTGTATTGGTGCAGGTGCGAGTTGTCTCCCCAGACAAAGATTTTTTTCAGATTCTGTCTCCTTCATTGCGTCTATTAAGGATTGCTCCTCGGGGACTCGAGTTAGTATTTTCTTTTGATTTAATTTAACAATTTATGTTATGAAATTAGGCACAGTTCTAACGGTATACTTCTCAAGACGTCATTGATGGATCTTTGAATTTCTTTGATCTTTCTTTTTGTTTTTCAAAAAATCCAAAGTTGTATGACCTTAGAAAATAGAGAGTGATTATACCATCTTAGTTGACGACACTTTATTATTGGTGACACTAAATTAAATGCATTGAGAAAGTCATTTCAGAGAATGGGATTCAATGGTAGAACTGATTACCATGAAATGCAACTCTAGTTAGAGCAGTAAAAATTAGGCATCAGTGTATCTGTGAAATTGGTTACTTTGTTCCCCCCCAATCTATGTAGGAGCTCTACATTTGAAAACCAACAAGAAGTGGTATAAGAAACTTACCTCAATGTTCTTGATGTACATGTCCATAATCTTTTTGTTAAACTGGTGACTAGTTCTCTTGGAACTCGGAAAATATCTGACTTCATTGTCTATAGTGCATGCACTGTAATATATCCTGCCATACATACACAGTGGTGCAACTTGTTTTACATTTCAAAATTCAAAAGAAAATCCGCCTCCCCCCCTCCAACACATACACATCTTCCATAAAGATGCCCAACCCATGTTCCAATCATATATGGGGGTAATATGGCTTTGAGTCTGCTGGTTGTTAGTTTTTAAAGCATTTTTTGGCACATTCCTAAGCACAAAAACATTTGCCGGGGTGATAATCACTGAAGCCTAGTGCTGAAGAATGGAAAAAGCGCAATTCAAAAAAGTTAAGGCTTTCTGAGTCCTTTTTTTTTTAATGTAAAATCTAAACCACTGATTTTGTCATGTGGTGTTGACATTTTGGCTGATGAGATTGGATTAGTGTATGAAATACATATAAAATATTAATCATAAATTACTTGAGCTCTGATTCCCGAGAGTGATGTTTACCGAAATTTACTGAAAATTTCTGCTAACTATGAATTTTTCCGATTATATTTTGTGTATGGAGATTTTTCTTACAGAATATAATATGAGCTTTGCTTTGATGAAGACTGGGTCTTACTTTGAGCATAAGACTGATTTGGCTTTTTGCGTTCCCATTTATTCATTCGGAAGATAATGTCGATAAATAGAAATACGTCTTGTTCGTTAACATCTTGGAAATATTCCGGCATAGTTAGGGCAGTCTAACCATCATACGAGCTCCAAGAGGTTCATTAATCTGTTCGTAATGTTCTCTACAACTTTTAGTGCCATATCTTTCAAAATCAAGTTGTGTGCCGTTCGGTTTGCAACCCCTACTACATCTGCCTTTACGGTATTTACTATATTTAGTACGTATCAGATATAGCACGCCCCTTTCATTTTTGACTATATGAAATCTGCACTTTGCCACCTATGATTACGTAACGAGTAGATACTGTTGGAGTAAAAGAACAAGAAGGCTTAACAATAGTGTTAGCCTGTCCCACTATTTATAATAAGAGTTAGGAAAACCTTAGGAAACCCTAGGTATTACATAAAAGACCTAAATATCCTTTAACACTCCCCCTCAAGATGGAGCATATATATTGTGTGCTCCAAGCTTGTTACAAATGTACTTTATCCTTGAGCCCCCCAACGGTTTAGTAAATATATCAGCTAGCTGATCAGCTGAGTTTACATATTTAGTCTCAATCTGCTTCTGCAACAATTTTTCTCGAATAAAATGACAGTCAACTTCAATGTGCTTAGTTCTTTCATGGAAGATTGGGTTGGATGCAATGTGAAGTGCTTCTTGATTATCACATACCAGTTCCATCGGTGAAGTGTGTTCAAATCCAAGAGCATAATCATTTAGTCTTCTTCTCCTTTCTTTCTTCCCATACTTAGGGTACTAAACTATTTGCATTGAGTCTTTGAACTAGAAAAAAATCCAACTTAAAATTTCACCACCAAGCATGGTCTTGGATCATGGATCTGATGATGGTGCCTGAGGAAACTTGGTGTCTTATTATGATTACAGGAATCATGAAAGTATAAAAGAAGCACAGTTAATGCACTTGTAGAGATAGCTTAACAATTTATGCAGGATACACAACAATAAAGAAATGATGTCTTCCATCTTAGGGTACAAGAAAGTATATTACTTTATTACTGGAGGCAGCTATGGCACCTACATTCTTTTATCTGAAATTCTTCACTTGCTAGTGTCAGAAGTTGCATATGCATGGCAATTTAGCGCGTTCTTGCATCAGTTAGCATTTGCCAAAATAAATCAAGTTTTGATAGCTAATTCAAATTAGTGTATGTAAAAACGAGTGGTAAAATTGATCTATCCCATCCGGGAGCTGGGAGGAAAGCTGAAACTTTTTATCAATGGCAGTTTTTGAAATATCCAGTACTCCGTACATTTGAGCTTCAGTCTTGACATTTCCAGTATGGCTTTTCAGGATGGTATCCTTTGGCGTGGAGGATTTTGCTAAGAAATATGGAACACTAGAACCTTCTCAGTTTGTTGATGTGATGTCACTTGTAGGAGACAGAGCCGATAATATACCAGGTGCTTTTGTTTGTACGCGCGTGTGTTTTTTGTAAATTAACTTCTGTAAAAGACAAGTTATTTGGAAAACCATACTTTTATTGTACTATTTGCTTTAAAGCATGGTATCCTGAAGTTTTTTCACTGTATTTTTGCTGTGAAAGAAATATGCCATTCTTGGAGTTTGAAATTTAATAAATCGTGAACTTATTCCCTCCCAACTTGTGAAATGCAACCATTTTAAACCACAAATCCTTCATTTTTCTTGTCACCTCAACCTTATATGTACAGAGGGGCAAGAGCATTTTTTCTTCTAATTTTTAGCTTATTTGATAGTTCCAAATGTTCTTTTGATAGTTATAAACTTATTCTCGATACAGAAATTTGATAAAGCTGGTAAATTGCAATTGAGTGCAGGAGTTGAAGGTATTGGAAATATACATGCTGTGCAGTTGATTTCAAAGTTTGGTATGTACGTGCAACTTATCATTTTCTTTGGAACCATGGCAAACTTGACCTACCTTATAGCACCCTTGCAACTTCACATTTGTAAAGACAAATGATCAAACATTTTAATTCTGTAAGGGGTACATTATATCCCAAGGAACTTAAAAGGTTAAAAGATTGGGTAACATGGCAAATTAACCAAAGCTTAGAAATATGATTTTAGAGGAAAGTATGTTCGTGGAAACTACTGTCCTCAGTCTCTTATCTGGATGCGCCTTTAAGAAAAAGATTTCTAGAGTAGCTTATAAGACTAGAAGTTTTAAGTATCATATCTAGTTCAGTGAAATTGAAAGTTCCAACTTGCTATTCTACTTATGTAAAGTAAACCAACGTATCCGAGCCTTCTTTTCTTCCTGCAACGGTTGCCAAATTCTTGAGGCAGAGCTGTGATCCATTCTTAAGGTATCCTCATTGCGTATCGATTTCGACTCTCGAGTTTATGAATAGAGGCAGATTCTTCTACTGCGATCCACTGCATCGCACATAGTGGATGACCATTGTCCATCCAAGTTATTCTCCATTTGGTTTCCCTCAATCATGCTATGGATTATGTCCGCTTAAAACCCGCAAGCGTATGAGATCGTTGTACAAGTAATAAAATATGTGAGTTAAGAGTCGTTCTCACGAGAAATAATGTCTATTTTGTAGTTCAATAGTTTTTATCAAATTCGAAATGTAGCGACAAAAGAGAATTGAGTTTTTTTGTTTATATAATTTATATTCTAAGAAAACAAATAAATATGATATTTTTCTAATATGTGAATGCTTGTATTGGAACCGTGAATCCCCCATTTCCGTCTATTTCAATTCTCAATATTTAATCTAGTAAATTTATGCATTTNTCTCATTTATCTTTCTATTCAATTCATGCATTTTTTACAATAAATATAGCTAATTTTTTAATTGTTCTTTTCCAAGAGACACCAACCTATGACTAACACGAGACTATCCTTTTCTTAGTCCGAATTCATATGAAAGTCATGCATTTGATTTAGATTATCAACAAGATTGCATGTGTGAAAGAAATTATTCATAATTCTAACTACACATGTTGATTTTACCGCATTCTAGACTTATTGTGAGCATTCATACACTACAACAAGCAACTAACTGCTTAATTGGTGATAAAGCAATAAGTAGTGCAATAAATATGTAATATCAATAAAATAATAAACTTGTATAATTGGTTGATAATTGCGCCTCGTTCTTCGCCTCCAAAATATGTAGAATATATGATTTTTAGGTAAAAAAATAGGTCTCTCCCGTGTTCTGGTCGAGTTTGGTATATATAGGATACTTCAAATCTTGTTACTGAAGTAGAGTTTCAATTGAAAAATGAAACAAGTTCTCGCCAAAAGGTTGTACTATGTTGTCGCATAGTACATTTAGAAGCGGTCGCATAAAAGGACGTCCAACCATCAATTTTGGCCCTGGAATGCATGATGCGATTGCATCAAATTAGACCTATGCGGCCGCATGGGTATACGTTTTCTTTCCACCGGACAGCCATCAGTATTTTGGTCTTATCTTTCTCTCTTGATATCCGATTGAAGTAAATCAAAGAGCTACAAATCTTCCAGAAATATAATTTTTCCAATTCAAACATTTCCTACGCCAAAATGGGTCTCAAACTGAGACTGAAAATCCGAAGCATGACTTTTTCGATTGGAAGTTGATATGTGATAGTACTTTGATTATATTTCATCCATTTGGCTTCTTTCCTCATACAATTGATGCCTAACACTCTCAAATCTTCATCGTGAGGTTCGACGTAACTTTTGAGTATTTGCATTTCAGTCCCTGAACTTTGTATTTGACACAATTGAGCTATTTTCCGCTATCTTTGCATTCTTTTCTCCGATTCATCATCAAACATTGCGTTTTACCTACAAAATGAAATATAACACAAGTTAGGTAGTATTTTATCCAAAAAACAGTAAAATATCATTATTTAGGACCTCAAATAAGTGTAGAAGATTCCCATATCCTTCGTTAAGGAAATCAGGTAGCTGACTCTCTAGCTGTTGAGAGATGGGAGCGGCGGTGCTATTTGGAGTATGGTCCTCTTGATTTTCCACAACGTGTTAGTGGCCTAGTATAGATTGACATATATGGGCTGCCCACGATTAGAGGCCTCTAGGGTTTTTTTCTTATTAGATTATGTTTGTACAGGAGATGATACCTCATTTACTGCTTTAAAATTACATTTTGTGGCCTCGAGGTTAGGTTTAAGCCCCCCTTGTTTGTATACATATCTATTCTATATATCATGGTTGAAGAAATCTAACCCCCTTTATCTTGCTCTGGTGGAGCCTAAAAACTCATCGGGGTTGTGATGATGTTTTCTTTTAAAAAAAATAAATAAATAAACCAACACAATAAAGGAGAGCATTTGTCAGCAAATAAAGATAATGTAATATAGGGAACAACAAAGTAAAATATGTGTAACCAATTCAAACAACTTCCCAGAACCAGGTCTTATTCCCAGTGCCACATCCTTTTTTCTGAACTGTATAAATGATGAATATACATATAAATTTCTAGGGGCCTCTACCACTCACAAGTTCCCTTTGAAAGCTCATTCTTGTCGGGTCCAAACCATATATGCTCCTAACAATCCTTCTCCATAGAAAAGCATTCTTCCGAGTTCAATCTCTAGATACATTTTACTATAAAAGCCAAGTTTACATTAGAGATTACCCACTCCCAGTACATTATACTTTTGATCCTACTGGCCATGTCTTTAGCAACTAAGCAATTCTTATTGCTGAGGCCCCAGCTGAGAAACAATTGAGTTAGAAATGTTTGGTTTAAACTCTGGATCTCCTTCTAAAAAACTTGCCAGTAAATTGGCATTTTGTTTATGTTGAAGATATGGAAAGAATAATCTCTATGATATTTTTCCAATAGTGTAGGATTATTTTCCTTAATAGTTGATTGTATAATTATTATGCAATCTTTCCTTTTAGAATTATTTATACCCCTATAAATATGGTCTTTTACTTTGTAATAGAAACTAGTTTATTATATACAATTTATAATATTCTTCACATGGTATCAGAGTAGTCTCGATCCTAAACAAATTTACATTTGAATTTCGTTTCTGGCGAGCGGCCTTAAGCCGCTCGTCTGACTACCAATGTTGTTTTTCTTTTTTTTATTGGGCTGTTGGAGTAATTGGGCCAATTATTTAATTGGTTTGATTTTACTGTGGAATGTATGGTGTTTTTTTTTTGTTCGGAGTTGAGCATTTTCTCCTCTTAAACTTGTTTGGAGTTTCTTCAGCTTTTGGTAATTTGGAATTTGGTCCCATTCATTTGGAATTTGGTCCAATTCATTTGGAATTTGGTTTAGTATATATCCAGTTCATTTGGAATTTGATTTGGTGTTGTTTCAGTGTATCCGAAATTTGAAATTTGTATTCATTTTATTTGGTATTTGTCGAGCTAGAATTTGAAATTTGCATGAAATTTGCACCCCTTTGGTTTTGTAGTGGATGCGTTGGTTATTTGCAGATATGAGTGTTCCTTCTTCCTCTCCAACCCCTATTGAGATTGACTATAATCTGATTTCTCCTTCAAGTCTTGGTGATGGTTAGATTAGATCGGTGGATGATGATTTTTCATTATCATCAACTTTGAGTTATTTGTTCGGTTTGGTTGACATACAAGCAATTTTGAAGATTTTATTGGATCGATTTATCTTTCAAACTCAATTTGATTGATGCTACACCATATTGAGTTTGAGGGAGGGTGTTGAAGATATGGAAATAATAATGTCTATGATATTTTTCTAATAGTGTATAATTATTTTTCTTAATAGTTGATTGTATAATTATTATGCAATCTTTCCTTTTAGAGTTATTTATAGCCCTATAAATATGGTCTTTTACTTTGTAATAGAAACAAGTTTATTATATACAATTTATAATATTCTTCACAGTTTGAAATCCATTCATTGATCTGTCTTGGTTAATTGATGCTCTAATAGAGTCGCAAATAGAGGACATTTGTGAACAGTAGCAAAAAAACACAAGTAGGATCGTGCTTTAGAGATGATGATTTCTTGGAAATATTAATTGACTTGGACTACCATATAACCAAAAAAATGATAGTGATTTCCTTTATAGAATTTTCCATTTTTGTTTGTCCAAAAAATAAACTCATCTTATTGTAACATACGAGAAAATTTCTCAAAAAATGTACCCTCTGAATATACAGTAATCTGGTCATACATGCACAACATTATAAAATTTCATAGTTGTTGTAAGTCATATAGAAAATTCATAGATGATGAGACATCCTCATAAAGCCGTCTAGAACATGCTGCTGTATGCTTCTCAGTGTGAAATTATAGCCTTTGATTTAACTTCTCGTGCTCCTATTCATTACTTTGTATTAGTCTTTCGCCATCTGATTTTCTACATTATTCTAGACTGCAGTGCTTGCTAAATTGTTGGTTGTCATTTATTGTATGGATAGGTACATTGGAAAACCTGTTGCGGAGTGTTGAACAAGTTGATGAGGAGCGAATCAGAAAGGTTGTTTACTCTTATGATGGATGTCTTGTTAGTATTTCTTTTAAAAAATCCTTTGTTGCACGGACAATTCAATTAGAGTTGGGAGTCCATGTTCGACATATGTCAGTGCCGACACTTCTTGGACACTTTATCATAGTCATTTTTCTTTCTTTATAGAAATATTATATAATTTTAACTCAAATTTATTATTAGATAACAATTATGTACTCATATTTAAAAGATTTTTAAAAAAAAATTAATAATAAGTATAATTTTATACTTGTATGAATGAAGAATTTTAAAAAATTTAATCAACGTGTTAGATGAACTTTCGTATCAATATTTTCTTTAAAATCACGTGTCGTCATGTCCGACATACCCGTGTCGGTGGTGCATAGAAAAATTCTGAAGCAAATTTCTATGAACTGAAGTGGCCACTCTCGTAAAAATAAATAAATAAATGAATAATCAAGACTACAATTATCTTTGTCGAAGTACCTGGTATTAGAACAATTGTTTAGTGCCTTAGGGTGTGTTTGATGGATATTAATTTGGAATAATGTATTTTGGAATAGTAGATTGATGAAGAATGTGTGGTTGAAAAATAATAGATTGATGGAGAATGTGTGATTGAAAAAGAAAGAAAAGTTATTGATGTGATGGAAAATATTATTTTATTGAAGAATGTGTAGTTGAAAATGAGTAGAAGAATGAAAATGAAAATTTTAATGTGTGTCAAACATGGGCTTAATGTAGACAACCTTAGTCATGAATCATGATAGGTCCAAAGTACCCAACTAGGGAAGCACATTAGCATCCTGCATTAGTGGCCTAGTACTTAAATCAAAGTATGTTCAGAACTACACTTCACAACTACCAAATGTATGGAAAAATTTCCACGAATAGACAAGACTTGAATAGGAACAGTGAGCCGAACCAAACAAGTCTCTCTAATAAACATCATTGATATGCTACTTGTGCTGAACAACTAAACATATCACTAATTTGGTTATTGAGCTAATATGAACCATGGAGCAAATGTAACTTTTGGAACAATCACCCCCTTTCTTCCTTATGCAGTGTGGGTGTTCACGTAAAGATATAGTTGAGAGTACTAAACATCTAGTATTGCCTCCAGTTTGGTTTGAGTTTGGTATTATTTGGTTTTTACACCAAATAAGTACTTTTTTATCTAACAGCTATAAATTTGGTCATCCCAGATGTATTCTCTGGAGTTTTGTAAATCTTTCCACTCTGCAGGGATGATCCATTTCTATTCTTGTCTGCAGCTGGTCTACGTGCTGTTCTTGTTATTGCAATTCAAAAATTATTCTGTTGATGAGGATAGTGCATACCACTTTACTCCTTTTAATCCTCTACAGAATGGCGGAAATTCATATAGAGCTAAATAAGATAAAATTACGAGAGAAGTTTTGATATCGAGCACTGTGGATTGATGTAATTGTAGAATGCCATTTAGTAAATCCTGACTTTGTAGTATTTCTTTTAGTTGATTCATATTATACATAAATATTAAAGATGTTTTGCAAACATAAGTATGAAATGAGTAGGGATTTATTATCCTGATGGACAAAAGACTAGGGAAATGATAGGACTATCGTAATGGAGATGGCATACTAAAATACTGTCATTCCTCGTACCCTAGGGCCTTTCTCATCGAGGAGCTGCTTTTGCTTTTAAAGATTTACTGCCCCCACCATCTCAAAAACATAAAGGAAACAGGAATGTTGATAAATAAAGATTGTTTATGATCTCCATTACAGTAGTTTGTTTATATGTTCTGTACATTTATGCATTCACTTAATCCTGTAGTTTTAGTTACTGATGTGAACTAGTTGTAGGCCTTGACATCAAATGCTGAGCTGGCTCTTCTAAGCAAGAATCTGGTAAGTATGTTTTTATTAATTTTTTTCAAGTGTCATTTCTTTTAATAATTCATTCTACCCTACGGGCGGAATATGTATTAATCTGGTATGTTTGTTAGCATTTGTTATTAATCATTCTTAGAAACTCATATTCTCAATGCTCATAGATCACAATTTATGTTATGTAGGCCATGTTACGTTCTGATCTGCCATTCTACATGGTTCCATTTTCAACGGAAGATCTGACTTTTATGAAACCAGAGGTTCGTATGATCTCTGCAAAAGAAGCTGATTCTGTCAACTATAAGCATGTCAAATGAAGTCTCGCGTTTATTGATATTTCTATTGGGGTTGCCATGGCTTGTGGCTGGCTTAGTGAAAATTTCTTTTGGATTATTGGTTTGGCCCAAGGGTTGATACTTGGATGGCTTAGTGAAAATTTCTTTTGGATTATTGGTTTGGCCCAAGGGTTGATACTCGGATGGTTAATGCATAAGAGAAATCTGTTCAGCCATTCAATGTTGTGGAGTTTATTTAGCCCTTGTTTGAGCCTCATTTTGTGAGAAAAAATGCATTTTTGAATAGTGATTTTTGGAGAATGTGTGGTTAAAAATTAAAAAAAAGTTTTTGATTTATGTATAATATTATTTTATTGGAGAATGTGCGGTTGAAAATGAGTTTTGAAAAATTGATTTTTTCAAAAAAAAAATGGGGCTCAAACAGCCCTTAATACACTTTAAAGTTGTTGGTAATTCCATTTGTCCTATTTGATACTTTATTTATTAGAAACAGCCCATGGATTTTCCTTGGTTAATAACAGAGAGTAAAGACTTGAGCATGATGGATCTTGAACCTTGACATTTTTTACTCATCATGACTCACTAGGCACTGAATCACCTATGCATATTATGGTGGGATCCTACTCTTGTATGTTCATACAAAAAGGTGCTGTGTAGAGCAAATTGAAGAAGGATTTGGGTGCCACTTAGGATCAGTTTGTCATTGGTACATAAAACTCTAGTAAAAGCCGCCGCTAGTCTGACTAAACCTAGAATTTTCATGCATCTGCACCTCTGAAGTTCAGAGAATCAGAAAGACTGGTTGTATGGTAGATGCATTGTAGAATCTTGGATTGCTTTTACTTGAGATATCTCATTGATTGTAAAAAAATGTGACACTTTGTAGATTATCAGACATCATAAATGCATCAACAAAACTCCATATGACTTCATAGCTATATCTTTATGATGATGGAAATATTAAACCTGGATGTTATGAACACAGGATAATGGGGAGAAATTCACAAGCCTCTTGACAGCTATTAGTGCTTATGCAGAAGGATTTTCTCCAGATTCTATCATTAGAAAGGCTTTTTATTTGTGGAAGAAGCTTGAAAGACAATGATTCAGATATTTGTCTTCATTTAACCTTTGAAGGTGGTTCTGCCCATTACAGAAATTCTGATAGGTCTTTATCACATATATAGAACTCTGTCAGAATGTAATGTGTAAAAAAGATGATGGAACTCCTAAACCTGGAGGTTATGAATACAGAACAATGGGGAGAGATTCACGAGCCTATTGACAGCTAGCGCCTATTGTTGCTTAAAAACTTTCCATTCAGATTCTATAATTGGAAGGGCATTTTATCTGCAGGAAATTAATGAAAGAAAATGAATCATATATTTCTATTGATGAGCTCTCCGAAGATGGTTTTAGCCAGATGAAAAATCCAGTGAGCTATAAACAAAATTTTCAGTTCTCTCTCTTGTTTTTGGCCTCTCTTTTGTAAATGTTACTGTGTAAAAATCAATTTTAGTCTAGTTACTGACATACAAGAGTTCAATATTAATCTTCTTCGTTATAATTTTATCTTCAGTGCGTGTACATGGTCTTGATTTTGGCTCTTTTATGATGTCGATTAAGAGTAACAAACCATCAATCTTGCAAATGTGTGACTAATGTCCTTAGAAAAATGATTGGTCGGGAGCAGCTAGTGTTGAAATGCTTTGCAAACGTTGCACGCACGAGATGAAATACAGGGATCTATTTTCATTTTGGTGTCTGTAGCATGTATCTTGATTTTCAAAGTGAATTCACACCAATCCCCGAGGTGCTGATTGTCTCTTTGATCTTCATTGTACCTCACTATATATGGTTTCTAATGTAACTTACGCTGTATATTTGTAACAGTGCGATGTGTATATGTCCCATGTAAGATGGCAATAATTGTTCTTTGGTATTTTGTGGTTGTGGTAGTTTGAAGTGGCAAAATGTTAATAAATTATGGGGTTTTGGTGGCGCTGAAAATTTCAAGTTAAAGTTAATCTTAGCTTGTATACTCGGAGTTAAAAACCTTCTTTTTGTTTTTTTCAACGGATGATGAAAATATTCTTACATGCCAAGTTCGCTTGCTTTGGTTTAAGTTTTGCTTGTCCTTAACACCATAGACTATTTGTGAAATGAATAATTTGTATTGAGGAGTATGAAGACTCCCCCAACAGGAGAGTGCCATGTTTCAAAATCCCAAGTGGGCTAAACATGGATTGACATGGTGTACATATACTATTCAGTAGCTGTAGAAGTGGGTGCTTCAGTTGATTTCTCAAGCTCTAATGTAGCATTGAATCCAAAAGTATTTCCTGGAGTAAATGACGATTTTAGCTCTTCAGCAGTCTGTATGGTGTTGATCTTGTTGTCCTTCACATTCAGATTTTCCTGCGGGATGGATAATTAAGCAAACAAATTAGGTTGGTTGAGCAGTATCAAGTAGATACATCCTAAATAGTAAGAATATTAACTTGCCTTCTTCACATAATCAGCCAATGTTGAGCTAACTATCTCCTGAATAACAAAATTGGTAACTCGATCTTCACCAAGAATCCGTAGTAGGAAATCCTTTGGGACCTACACAAGTTTCAGACTCAATATTGTTACTTTTATCAACAGGAAAGCATTTATTGTATTACTTGTAAACACACCGAGTCATTCACACACTTGAAACCCTATTATTTTCTTGAATCACAAAGCTATTACCATCAAATGTTGCCCATAGTCACGGTTTAGGTTCCACTTCAGCCTAATCGTTTACATATAGAAAACGCCCGAAGATTTTTCTTTTGTACCCCTTCTTTACAAACATATTTCGGAACTACTCAAAGAATAAACCATCATAGATATTCAAACCAAATTGAAGACGCTGAGATAATACTGTGTAGACAATAATTAGATGTATGCTCAGAATCAGCAACAAAAATCCTGTTTCGCTGTCTAGGAAACAAGCACTCCCTGGCAAAAAGTGAACATGTTTGAATATTCAATCCTGGCTTTCACACGAGTAGTTTGTAAACACTTTAAACACAAGGGATTAAACTTCTTTAATTAACTATCGAGCCATTAAGAATATTAAGGTATTTAACAAAGAAACATACTTATCCATTGATTGAGGGAGCAATCCTCACTTGACAATTAATTAAGGTAACAAGCCCTATAATCTGCCAACTAAATGAAAACAGTACTCAATAGGCTTTGCATATTTCACTTCTTAATTTTCTTACTTGACCTTTTCTTTGGCCATAAGAGGAATTGAAGATTATTATATTCAAACTTGAGCTAAGACGTAAGGATTTTGTACATGGCAACTCAATAAATAAAGAAATTTCAAAGGCAGATCAATATATAATGGAAAAAAACTATGCACAATAAGATGTGGAGTAATTTACCTTCGATGTTTTCCCTGCAGAAGCCATCATGCACATGGAAATATTAACAAGTTAGCAAACTGTGATTAAAAAGTTACCAACTTTTTGAAGAAAAGAACCTATAAGCTATGCAAAGGAACGGTAAGTTAGGCAACAAAATAAAGTAATAGGCATGAGAACACTGTAACTACATAATATTTGCACATGGAAACTGAATAGTCATTCCCTTTAAATGAGTTGATGGAGGGCATATGACATTTTCTTAGGGTTATCCTCCATTGGAAGCTTAATTCTAAAATAAAACTTCAACTCGTCCTCGTGTAATTTGGATGAAATGGTAAAATAGGGCAATATATATTTTATTTATACCTGAAGCAAAATATCCAACTATTTCTTGTATGTTTCCATGAAATATATACTTCCAGATTTTGCATAATCTAGTTCCATCTTATACCTCATTTTACATTATCAACCTTAACCATTCTGAGATATGTTCCAAACAGTACAGACAACAATACAATTTCATGCATACACCAAAGTTGCTCGCATATGTAGCAATTGTGTAACCTGTCCACCCCTTCAGAATTAGTAAAAACTGAAAAACTAAAAGTAACATTGGCATTAAAGACAAGAATTAATGCTAATCTGATGATGAGAACTGATAGAAAGCTCTCACATTAGATTTTCAAAGTTGTCATGTACCGGTTCAATCACCCCCCCTTGAAAGAAAGAAACGTTTAACCAAAAGGACAAAATAATAGCAGATTTTATGTTGACCAGAGTCACATTGCTTGCTTCTACGAAAAAACTTTGACAGCATTTTATAACATGATAAGCTTCACTTGTTTTATTTTTTTCTGATGATTTTTTGCCATCTAAAAGCAAAAGTCTTGTGTACTGCAAAATGGATTAGCTAATGCAAAGATAGCATTTTTCTTAGTTAAGTTGTCAACAACCATATTTGCCAAATATGTCCTCCAGCGTGGATGGTTTAGTTTTGTTACTAACTAAAGAAGGACATAAAATATTTAACAAAATAATTGAATAATTGACGAAGTTACTAGTTAAATATGTCAACTTGAAATGACTTTTTCCCAGTTGCTAGCCATAAAGAGAGACAAGTGGCATCTTCAAGTATTCCATAAAAAGAGAAGCAGAGTCATTCCGGAGCTTTACGAACAGTCGAGTTCTCATTATTGAAATCGTGCAAATAATTACCTCCTTTTTGTCTGCGAAAACCAGGAACTGGTGGTGCTGTACGTGCTAAGTTTGCCAAAATCTTATCGAACACCACCTGTGTCTCCTCCCCCGACAAATCCACTCTTACCTGACAGAAGAAAAAAGTAATCAAGAGAAATTTTGATAAATTGTTTTTCAGACAGAATAATACTGAAAGTCCTATTTGATAACATCAGATTTAATGGTGAATAACCCAATGTCCAACATGTGGTTCTCCTAACACAAACACACAATGCATTACTGCAGTTTCATTTCCCCACTTCACCCACATCCAGGAACTTCAGATCCTTGAAAACTGGAAATTGTGCAGGCATCATGTAGACAAACATAAAAGTAAAAACTCAAATAGACTGGAGCTCATCCCTTAGTATTCCATGCGTCAAGAAAAAATAACAAGCATGTATAGGCTGGTTGAAGTTTAAGTTGTGATGTTTCCTATGACATGAAGGTTTGCATGTTTCTTATCAGAAAAGAAGAAAAAGACATGAAGTTTTACTACAAATATACCTCTTAAATTTTTCGTAACTTTGCAACCCAAATACACAACATGCAGAAGTGCATATGGAGAAACAACAACCATTACTGAACTATGGTAGGTAGTACTGGTATCAAGGTAAGCTCACTTGTATTTTATCGTCATCTTTAGACTCCACAACTATCTGTGCACTTTTAATGTTTACTGCATTTTCCTTTGGATCCGTAATTGATGCCTCTAAACCTGCATCAGCACGTAAAGATTTACTTTTTAATGAAGAATAGATCCAGATATCATTTCTGTCTATGAGTTTAGGTTGCTGATATCACCTGAGCCAACAGCAGATGCTGGCTTTACTAAAGATCTTTGACCAGCCTTGGAAGAGCTACTGACAATTAATGACATTAATTCAGTTATAGAGAATCAATCGTTCAACATTAGATGTATTTAGTGACCTAAGAAGTCTAATAAACATAAAACAAATTAATTGCCTGGCTACATAGAGCCATAAAAGGAAGTCGACAGTAGTAGGAAACACAAAGACAACAATCATAAAGCATTATTATTTGAAGAAAATTATAAATTACAATCTGAAGGAAGTGGTGATGTAATCAAACTTCAGATTTTAAAGAAGATATTCAGGCAATGCAACAGAAAAGACTCCATTTCTGATGTGTTCCAATGAAATAGTATACAAGTATTCATCTAAGAGTAAAATATTTGGCCAAGCAAGGAACTGTATTCTGTAATATCGAATTAGTGCAAATATCAACTTGATTTTTTATATGAAATAACATTTATTGCTTGAATAAACTATGTATATGATCACTCTGTTATGGACTGACCAAGGGAGTTGCGTTGCTAGTATCCTGCTACAAGTGCTGGTTTGGGTAATGCTGAAATGGAAACAGGTTACAGTAGTAGAATATTATTGCTTCTTCATTATCCAATATTAAACTTTGACTAGTTCTGGTACTAAATCTATTTAGC